TAATCTGTTTGTATTATTTCTATGATTTCAATACTTATTTTTATTTCACTCTAGGGAAATAATGAAAATATTTTTTTATTACCCGCGATCTCTGACTGCAAATATGATTCATGCAGTAAGATTTCCAGTACTGCCTATGATTTTCCAAATCCTATTATATTAATAAGATAGTTTCCAGCTATCATTTTTCTTCAGCTCAGTTTAATGCCTTCAGACATGACATATTCTTGGGAAAATGCCCTCCAAGGTTATTTTAATTCGGGCTTTGCACTCTGATGTGACGTCTTTGTTCAGAATGCATCACGTCGGTTTCGGATTTCATTGAAAGAGAGAGTTTGAAAAATGAATCTCTAAGATAAAATAGTTGGTAAATCTGTTTAATTTTATACTAAATTAATCTAGAGAATCTTAGAATTATGTCTTAATTTGTTCATATTTTCCCACTACCTGTACTGTCGCAATTTTTCGAATTCTAACATAAGTAAATAATGTCTTTGGATATGGAAGCAATTCAGAACAAATGTACTGTACAGAAATGAAATATGTTAAATATTTTTGTATCGATTTTTATCAGATTTTCATCAGAAAATAGTTGGTAAATTTGTTTATTTTTATACACAATTAATCTAGAGAATCTTAGTATTGTCTTAATTCAGAACAAATGTACTGTACAGAAATGAAATATGTTAAATATTTTTGTATCGATTTTTATCACATTTTCATCAGAAAATAGTTGGTAAATCTGTTTATTTTTATACACAATTAATCTAGAGAATCTTAGTATTATGTCTTAATTCAGAACAAATGTACTGTACAGAAATGAAATATGTTAAATATTTTTGTATCGATTTTTATCAGATTTTCATTCTTTCTAATTCAATGTTATTAAAGTAAGTGCCATTGCTGAATTTTTTAAATTTTACCTAATAGTTATGAATAAACTTCTATTTACGTAATCACATTTTTATGAAAATCGCATTACAATTGTGCAATACAACAATAATATGAGTTATTCATATAAATACCTACAATTAAACTTATTTCTGGTAAATATTTATTAGAACATTCCATTTGAATTGCCAAAAAATTTGTTAATAGTATGAGTTTAATAATATTTGGAATTCAAAATAGCTTTGTAAAAGTATTTACGTACTACTTATGTATTTATTTTCCTCGATTATGATTTATTTTATTTAAGTCTAAATTCTAGCAGAATTTCTCGATGGCCCTGTGGTAAAACTTCGGATTTTCCAACAAGTTTCCAAGTTCCACTCATATCAGACAACCTGATATCAATTTTTACTTTAAGTAGCTTTTTTCCAACATTCCTGCAGATCACAACAAGTTCTTAGGACTTTCAAGCTCCAACTACTATTAAAAATAATCTAGTATATAATGCTTAGGATGTGAAGATCCTGGCATTCCATGGAACTTGATTATTATAGCTTTTCGAGCAATCAGAGCTTAACCAGTCCTATGAGCTTTTGGAACGATATTTCTTAACTACTTGGCTAACAAACCAATGGTTGGTTGATCATTAGATTTTTGATATATTTTTATTATAAAAATTTCACTAATCTATGATATTTTTACATTGATGCAGCAATGCCAGAGAAGGGCTATTTTGGAAAAGCATTATTATCTATATTTTTAAGTAAACTACTGCTTGATACCAGATTGTCCAATTCGTGGACTTGTACCTTAAACTTATGGATTTTGCTTGCCACAACCCTATGAACCACCTAATTGGAAATTATTTTTATTGTATTTTATTTATATTCTATTTTTATTATAACAATCTCACTAATCTATGACGTTTTTACATTGATGCAGCAATGCCAGAGAAGGGCTATTTTGGAAAAGCATTGTTATCTATATTTTCAAATAAACTACTGCTTGGTACCAGATTGTCCAAAACGTGTACTTGCACCTTAAACTTCTGGATTTCGCACCCTTGACCCTACGAACCACCTAATTGGAAGGTTTCGAACCATCTAATTTGTAAAGTTTGGCCACCATGATCGACACCCATGATAAAACCATATGAAAAATTCTGTAGCAATTTATATTTAAATACAATTTTATACAATTTATTTCCGTCGGCAATAATGAATATCGGCCTAAAGGCGTCTGTGATTCATAATCGTTAATGGGCTGCGTTGGACGTCGACTTATGTGCATAGCCTAATGGTGCGTCATAAATATGTCAAAGGCACTTGAAGACCGCGTTTCAAGAAGCCTATATAAAGAAAACTTTTGTTTCGTTTTGTTTATGGGTGATGTCATTGATGTTTAATAAATGCAACTGCAGTATTGAACTTTGAGAAGGAATTCGAAAGAATGGCTTATTGGTTCGAAGGATGTAGAACAAGTGCCAAAGCCCAAACAAAAGCTCTTTCAGATAGATGAAACTTAAGTAAGAGAGTTCATTTACAATTTTTCAACAAAAAGAACGACTCTTCTTAGCAGTACGTGCTGCCAATAGTTCTTTCACAATTTAAGAGTATATAGATGCTCTTTTATAATTTTCCAAAACAAATGAGTGATTCTTCCTCCTATCTTCGCCAAGAGGGTACAACAACATTGGGGTAAATGAAATTTAAGGAAATCAAGATGATGGATTATAACTTTGTTGTCGTACCTTCTGCCAATACTTTTTGGAAATAAATGAAATTTAAGTAAATCAAAACGCTCATTTACAATTTTCCAACAAAAAGAACAATTCTTGGTAGCAGTACCACGTACTGCCAGTAGCTCTTTCAAAATTCAGGAATATATAGATGCTCATTTATAATTTTTCAAAACAAATGAGTGATTCTTCCTAATTGTACCCTTGCCAAGAGGCTTATAACATTCCTAACAGAATGAGTAATTTTTCATAATTGAGATACATAAAATTCAAGTACTTTGACTCTAAGTTTCCCGAATTTGATATTTTTCTTATCTGGGTTTGAATCTTGTAATATGAATATCTAGAGATGGGTAGCCCACTCCAGAGTTATCATTCCGATACAACTCCTCCCTCGGAGTGGAGTTGTCTCACAGGATTTGTCATATCCGACTTCGCTAAACTTGTACTAAATCTGTTAACATGTGCAGATATTTGCTCGAGATTTTTTACTAATACAAAGATTTGGGTCCAAAAAAGTGGTCGTTTTCTCGTCTCACAGCCAGTTTTAGGACTTTCCAGGTATATAATGTCTCAAAATAATGCCATTTTGTGTTTTATATTCTGTATACGTCCGTAAATGAGCTCTTTCAATGGTATACAACCAGCTAATAATATTTAGTATTATATTATAACTTTTGCACAATTATTATTTTATAATTGTGTAAAAGTAATAGTATGCTAATCAAACTACCTGATGTATAATTAATTCTCGAGAAGGATATAATAAAAAAATGTGAGGTATTATTATTTTGTGAAAAAATATTACACACAAAGATTTGTTCTTATTTCATATATATGGTTCACTGCATTATTTTCATATAAAAATGAACATATTCAAAGAATTCTATATTTTTTCTTCAAAAATAATTACAAAATTGATTTTGATTCCCCAATTTTTTTGTCAATTTGAGATTTGTATGCATATTGAAATGCATAAAATAGTAATTATTATAATAAAATGAACAAAAATGTTTGAACTATTTGTAAACTATTTCCAAGGTATCAATAAATCCTTAGATATGTTAAGAACGCACTAGAGAACACATTTGTGTCAAGTATTATGTTTCAAAGTTGTCGGAGTTGTGGAGTTGTTTAGTGGATATAACTCCTCTCTCAAGCGGAGTCAAATCCTAACCGATCCGGCTTCGGATATGATAAGTCCATCTCTACATAAATTATTCTAATAATTCTATTAATCCATTATAAAATACAAAATCGGACCATTTCCTTGCATATATACAAAATTCATTATCAACACATGATGTTTTTATCGTCCTTCCATTATCTGTAGAAACTGATAAAATGCACATTCATCAATCAGCAAATTAAATCTGTGACATACATACTTCATAAATCCGAAAATAAGTGATAAGTGTTTTATATGTGGAAAACCACATCTTTGGAATAAGGGTAACCTAATAAGAGATTAAAACGATCCAACAAATCATTTTGGAGCAGAAACAGTCGGCGATGATGACCTTAATATGATAATTTAACTCGTTACATAAATCTTGTAGACTGTTTATACTAGTAGAAAATAATTTATGGTTTTATTCAACATAATCTCATACCAAATAGGCTCAGGATACCAATATGCTCACCATTAGGGAAGAAATAATTTGGTTTGCAAAGATTGACGAACCATTTTAATCAATTAGCTTTAATCCTTGATTAATTGTTAAAGAAGAAGAATGCATATGATTTATGAAAGCAGAGAAAATACAGGGAACTGCAAGCCAAAGCACAGGTCCAGGAAGAAGAAGAATGCATATGATTGATAAAAAAAGAAAAAATACAGGGAACTGCAAGACCAAGCACAGGTTCAGGAAGAAGAAGAATGCATATGATTGATGAAAAAAGAGAAAATACAGGAAACTGCAAGTCGAAGCACAGGTCCAGGAATAAGAAGAATGCATATGATTGATGAAAGAAGAGAAAATACAGGGAACTGCAAGCCGAAGCACAGGTCCAGGAAGAGGAAGAATGCATATGATTGATGAAAGAAGAAAAAATAGAGACCTGAAAATTGAAGCACAGGATCAGGAAGTGTATACAAAATGATTAATAACAATGAAATGACAATGGGTATAATAAACAAGAGAGAGAAAGGGAATCATTGATATGTGGTGATCTCACACCATGGACCTGCCTTTAGTCAGATTACTATTTATTTTTATAGTTTGGAATACTATGCCATCTTTTTAAGACAACACTGTATACATACCAATTTTAAACTTAAGGCAATATGCCACTTATACCTAGCATATTACTAATTTTATCATTACAATAGTTTTATAGAAAATATAAATAGATTTTCTTTTTTAGGTCGCCATGACAACAAGTTTAGATAGAGATACGGTCCGAGCGGCTTATGAGGACGTCAGAAGCGACTTATCCGATACAGACTGGTTAGTAATCTTCTGAGATAATATATCTAGATTATTTAAACACGTGATTTTCACACAAATCAAATAAAATGTCATATACAATATATATCTAATAAATCATTTCCTTTTCCGACAGGGCCGTCTTCAAATTCAGCGGTCCCCAAATAGTAGTCTCCGCCAAGGGTTGTGATTTTGCAGAGTTTAGGGAACAATTCGCTGAGAATGAACGTGCTTTTGGATATATCAGGTAAGTAAAATATTGACCAAATTATATATTACGTGTAAAAAACTTGTACTTTATTTTTATTTTTTAACTTGTACTTTATTATATAGATTGCAAATGGGGGATGAGATGTCAAAGCGCCGAAAGTTTTTGTTCCTGACGTGGGTCGGACCAGGTGTTGGTGTAATTAATAGAGCTAAAATGTCAACTGACAAAGCTATGGTGAAAGATATAATTACTGTAAGTTTCAGTATTTAGTAAGATAAAAGTGCAAACTTATCCCTATCAGTGTCGCCATTTTCGAGTAACAGATCACTCAATAATATACCTAAAAAGCTTCTTCTAAGAAGGATCATAGAGCTTATTTAAATTATTACTTACGTTAGTTTCCAATCCATTTTCGATTTGTCTTTATTCTTAGCTTTTGTAGACACACTGCACTTTTTATATTAAACATATAAATTACAACAATTATTAACAACAAATTTGACGCCATATTTGTTCATCCTTTTAGAACTTTGCGGTTGAGCTTCAAGCTGAAAACCAGTCAGAGCTTGAAGTTGAACAATTCAGAGACGCCCTGAATCGTGCCGGGGGTGCCAACTATGGCACAGGAGTGCGCGACATTTGAATGTCCTAATGACACAAATAAAAAAAGATATTTTTATAAAATTTATAACTTGTATGGTTATGTAACAAATTTTATTACGTTTTAGTTTTTTTAGTATATTGTAAACTACATATGTCTGTATTATATTTATATGAAGTATGTTGATAATGATGTGTTGCTATCATGATTTTAAAATTACCGGTTTAAATTGCATAGATAATTGAATTTGGATTAATATTTATAGACTTACATGTGCAAGAATGTTGAATTTTGATAATGTGACTTTTGTTTAAAATGCATTTGTATTTTTATAGTTTTTATAATGAAAAATATAGTTGTATACTATAACTTTATATAAACATGTTCTTAAGTCTGATTTGATAATAAATTAATTATTAATACACACTGCTGTATTTCTATCAAAAACATATCCTTCTAGAAATCAAGATTCTAGAAGATAGTATTCTCTATTTTATTCTTTACTTTTGACACAAAATTAAATTTTATAAATTCGTTTTATCCTTTCCATGTTGGTTTGAGACTTTGATATTCGTAACAGTTGGTAACATGATTTTAGATGTCGCGAGGGTTTCGATTTATAAATACTTTTAGTTCCTAAAACAATTTAAAGAATATTACTAAATATTAAATAAACATTAATAACGTAGTCTGTATAATTGGTATTCATCAATTCCATATAAAACGTTTCATTAAATGTTTGAGTTCTTGTAAAGCTAGTTATTAAATCTATTGAGCATATTATAGTATCATAAATTTAACATTATAAAGTTTTATTTCCTTTAAGTAATGTGTAAATACAGAGGATTTAATGATTAATAGAGTGCATAAAAATCAATTAAATGTAATTTGTTTTTCCCGCTCATATTCGTATAGATATCATTCAATATCCTCAAGTTCGCGCTACAGGATTACCAACCTAAGGAGGAAAAAATAATAGCCACAAGCGTCATTCACGCCGAAGCTCAATGCACTCGTATCTAGCGATTCAATGACTAAATTTATAATAAAATCTTTTTGTGATTTTTTCTGTGAATAATAAAATGTGTTATTTATGAAAGTGTTGTGCTATTAATTTGGAATATCTTGATTGATTTATACAAAGTAAGTAAATACATTTTCATTACATTTTCTTTAAGTTTTGTAGTTTCTTGTCACGGCTTTTGTTAAACAAAATAAAGCGTTAACAAACTGGGTAATATATTATTTGTAAGCAAATTAAAATATTGTTTATACAATTCTTCACGAATTTTATAATTTTTATGGTTGTCATCACAATTTTGCAAAGATTTACATTTTCGTAAAAAGTACAAAAGAAACCTGTCATGTTTCAGATTAAAAAAGGATTCAAAATGCCTAAACCTGAGATGAATGGACATGGACATGGTGAGTCAGAAATGTCATTTTTATAAAAAATTGTTTTTGTTTTGGATTGTAAAATAAACTTTGTGTATATAATATGTTTTTGTCACGTGCAAAATGTTACGGAAATTGCTTTGGAAATAATATTTATTTACAATTACAATCGAAAAACGTAAAAACACTAATCAAATTAGTTAAATGTCATTTATTACTTGCGGTATAAGCATTTTGCAAATATTCGAAATTTGAGGTTATGTTGCACGAATCACCTCGTTTTATTTGTTGGTGTATTTTTATTCATTTCAATAATTTTACAAACTTATCTTGTTTATGTGAAATACAAAAGCTAGTACCTTTTATTAGTTCTGATTCAAAATATATGGCACCATTGTTTTGAGGTGTTTCTTATATGTTTATTGGATCAATAAAAAGATATTATATACACTTGGGAGAATAAAGCTGTTCAAGTATCTTACTTGAATGAATTTCTTACTTGTTAATTATTTAAGTGCTTTGCTAACAACATATTATATATATATATATATATATATATATATATATATAAATATATAGGCATAAATATTTATAGCATTTTGTATTATGAGTGGAATGAATATAAATTGTGTAAATAACAACTCTCTACAATATGCACTAACTCTATTTCATAAAATGTTAAGTTACAGATTTTTCAAATCTTATCAGTGTGAAATTAATAGAAAAAATATTAACACATTTTATAAATAATTTGTTATATATTTTAAAATAAGTAATTTATATAATGTGTTAATATATTTTTGAATTTTGCACTGATGGTGAGATAAATCATGGTCTGGAAAGTTTGTTATTTAGTACTTTATTATGGAATAAAGTTGCAAAAATGAAGTGCAGTTTGTTATTATTCATATAGTTGATATTTATTTTACTCATGATATAAATTAACTCTATATATATTATATACTAATAATAGATAATTCACAATGTGCATATAGAATTTTATCATTTGTCAATATCATTATACACAAATTTATTCATTTATTCATAATTATGTTTCTACATAAGTTAGAAAGCTTAATTGCTATTTACAATTGGTATTCAAGATACCATTAATTTATCTGCATTTTATAGTGGTATAGGATCTAAGAATAATTTGTTTTTATTAACAATTTTTTTAACTTGTCTCTATTGGAGCAATTTTCCTATACCACCAACTAATACTGAAAATCTGCAACATATTGATATACAATTTCATATATATTTGTTATTTCCTATATAGAGATTTATTTTGACTTTTATACAATTGGACGGATACTGGTAACTTTTAGTCTACTGACTGTTACAAATTATATGGTAATCAGGTAATGATTTCAATTATCCTTTCCAAATGGTTCAAAAAATACAAGCTAGTTATCAGATGAGGCCAATACCTTTGGGACTAGGTTGTAAATTATATGGTGACAAAAATGCATATGCCCACCCCGAAAATGCAAATTTGAAATAGTGTCTGTTTCACTTGCATATTAAAGATTTCATTTATCCTTGGTTTAAATAATTCAGTCTATTTGCCAGTTGACGTCAACACCTGTGGAGTCAGTCTATTGTCCAATTTTGCGCGCAATTGGTTCAACGAACTTTCTTCTTGACGGACCTTCCTTATGGATCTGAGAACTTATTTGCATACATAGTACTTTTATTTTTTTCATGAAGTCAGTTTGCATACTATACTATAGACTCGGCCGTTTATAACAGCTGAACATGTGACTTGATTCATGGGTTTTTTGTTGGGTGTCTGGATAGTGCACGCTATGGTAATAATAAAAATTATACTCCAAGTTCCAAAAACTTTGCTCTATATCTTTAACACTATTGATTTCGAAGTATCACACTTATTTGTTTAACCATGATGAATATTTTATCATGTGTATTTGATGACTCAGTTGAATACGATTATTTGCTGTATGTCATCTACAATGTATAGAACAATATAAAATGAGATCATCAGTATTAGTTTACATTAGAAATTGTAACATATGATACAATGCATCAGTGTTTTTGCTACAGTGTTTGATTTATCGATTACTCTGTTATTGTTTATTGGTTTGAATGTGCGAACTATAAATCCCAACTGCTCAATTATGCAATACTGAAATAGTATGATACATTGGTAAAAATAAAAATAGCATTTATTAATAGAGAAGTATTCGTAAATCGTTATTTATCTATTATATAAAAATAAGTCGGGTTTTCTTTCCTGACGATATAACTGCAGAACGCACGAATCTATTTCTACGATTTTGCATTCGTTGGAAAGGTCTCGGGCTCCGTGAGGTTTATAGCAAAAAAAATAAAGAAAGATTTCAACAGAAAAGCGGAAAACACCTTTTCTTTTTTCACATACAGCGTCATCTCTGATACATAGCATACACTACAAACTGATATTTTTTGTTTGACTGCTACTCATTTGTTTGACAGCTACTCATTGTTCTCTACTAAGTTAATTTGATGTGACACACCGGCATTGCGTTCACTGTGAAATGGTGCAAAAAAAGTAAAAAAATAAGCTATTCGTTTCCTAACATTTCAATTGGAAACCTTCAAATCAATCACGTGTATTGTGTAAATTTTATTCAATTTAAACAGCAGGCAATTTTTTCCTTCATCTTTTAATCACCAAACGAAATGTTACTTAAAATGAAACCATCTGGTGGTGAAACGGAGTTCGCCCGGTTTGCTTTTAGTCTTTTATATTTTTAATAGAGCATAATATGTCAATTATTGCTTATTTATTGGCTTTGAAAGTAGCTTGTACATAAAGTACTATTACCACTTTTGTATTCATTATCCTGCTTCCCTTCCCTTGGAGATTGCGTCCAAATTTCATCAGTTTGCGTATTGTTGTCTAAACCAAGCGCCAACCAATCAATTATCTTTATTGTTTATTTGTCCTAGTTGTTAATTTACTTGACACTTTGTTCTTGACTTCAAGAACCTTTCAAATAAAAAATGGACTTTGGTTTTCCTAGAGATTCTCGTGACCTTAGATGACCACGTCAACAAACCGCACGTTGCGCGAAAATTTAACTGTTTGATCCTTTGCCAAAACGGTCACAACTTGTCACGAGAATTAGGCTTCGGATGTGAATGAAAACGCCCACGGTGTTAAATTATTTCAAATTCTATTCAATTATTATATTAGTTGAAACCAATACCAATTGATGAATCAAAACTCAAATTTGATGATGACCTTGTTGAAGTTGGGCTTAAAAACTGAGACAAAAAATTCTTTGCTAATACAATTTAATTTGGCGCTAATCAGTAAAATTTAATAGGCCAAAATCTATTATTCATGGATATATAGATTCTCATGGTCATATCTTGTTATTGTTGAGTGTATAAAGCATCTGACATGTTTTTCAACGTATTGTTTTTATGAAAGGCTAGTTATTTGTTATATTATTATATCTCCGGGTCAAAAACCGATACAAATTTGTCGTGCATCAATAGATTCTTCTTTTCAAATTGAGATAAACATCTGTCAAGAAATTGGATGACCTAGATAGATATTGGTAAAAATATGTTTTTCTGTTATGACGAACAATACTGCTAGGGAGTTCTATAAAATGTTTTTGCTTCTTTAAGTATAAAATTGGAACTTCTTTTTTTGGCGATTGATTTATCTTTCAATGCTTCTTAAAAATTTCGTTGCTTTATTTAAAAATTATTCTCTATTTTGCAAAACTTAATTAATAGCTTCAACTGGTTTATACCAGACAGATAACTCAAGATCAAAGGTCAAATCTTTTTTCGATAAAGTACCGAATTATCATCAGA